CAATGATCAGAGGAGAAATTATTAAATTTCTTTTAAATTTAATTGATATTAAATTACTGGTATTATGGAGCTATATCAATTATAGTGACTGAACTAAAATCAAATCTTTTGACTCTAGTCTCCAGTGAAAATTTACCATGTTATTTTGGCTTACTCTTTTCTCTCTTAATCTAGGGTCAGAAGATTTCTGCTTTAAGGTCCAATGACCCTTCATCTAAATAATCTACTGTCTGGATCCAACCCAAAGTCAATGTGTCTCTTAAATTAATTCAGTGAGGGAAAAAATGAAGCTAGGATTTATGAGGCAACTTCTTACAGCTGTAAAAATAGTCTTAGTACTTCAACATGGTTAGTGTTATTCGCTCTACAGCAATTACTCAGTCTTTAATGATTCCTGTTTTGATTTCAGTAAGTCATTAGACCATTAAATGTTTTAGTATTTTTTATGGTCTTGGGAAGACAGACTACTTGTATTTATTTGGTACAGAAAAGGCCAAAAAAAGTTGGAGTAACTTTGGACATAGGTTATGAAACTAGTAAGAAGATCAATGTTGGGGGTTGGGAAGGGACTATAGAAGGCATGGGAAGTGGAAGGAAAGAGAACATATGTGACATCAAATGGAGGCTGTGCATGAGAGGGCATGCATGGGAGGATGGGCAGGATCAGGAAGAGGGGGTGGAAATATGCAAAAAATAAACTTATTTATAAATGTCACCATGAAAGCTGATAATATGCATGCTAACATAAACATTTCAACATATACTATATTATATATTGATTATGATGAAAATCAGAAGGTGCCTACATATATTTTGCAATGATTTTCAGCCTGTCTGAAAAGATCATGTGAGTTTGACATTTTAGTTATTCCATGGCTCTTCTTTCTTTTTCCTTTTAGCAATGGAGCAATGATGCCAGAGTGAATGCACAGAGATGGGCAAGCCAGTGCACTTATGAACATAGTTCTCCAGATGTCAGGACCACCAGTATGTAAACTCAAAATTACTTACAAATGAATGGAGAGTCACATAGGAAAG